TCATGTTTGAGTGTAAATGCAGTTTTCAGAAAATTCCCTGCTCAAAAGTTCTTGTCTCTTGCACTAATTTCTTCTTTAAACATTGTGAAGCTCTACTTAGAACCTTCTTAAGATCCAATAGTGCAAAATGCAAATTCTTGCACTTTTTGACTGGTCTTAAGATTTTAATCAGGAGTGTATATGGATTTAATTACAATAACAGGATGATCCAGGTATCAAAATGTAGCTTTTAAAGCTAAGAATCTGAAAATGTAATTAGGTCATTTTGACCAAATTTRACTTAATCCTCATTTCGATATGATGGGTCACATATATTTTTATATTCTTATTAGGTCCGTACATGTTGGTTTTAGTCAACCAGAGATGATGTATCTAGGCTACATTTGATCCTAAAATGGCTACGCTCGATCAAGAAGACAAAACTTTAAAATCAGATCTACAGAATGGGAAATATAAACTAAACACTGAAAAACAAATCATAAAAAAACACTGATTCCAGTTTAAAACATAAACAAGACGATGGAAAACACCATCCAGGAAACAAATAATCTATAAAATGAGTGAAAGACATGAGGCGGAGGTCCTCTGAGGAATGAGAGCGATGAGTGGTAAACAGTTTGTCACACATGGAGATGGACGTGAATGCCTGGTTGGTGATGAAGGGCTCTCTGGCTTTAAGCCTGGGTCATGGAGGGAGGGAGGGGCGGGTGCAATAGGAAACCCCACCCCTCGGTCCCTGAACTCCCTCAGGAGCTGAGGGTGAACTGGTCTTGCTCGATGGGCTTCTTGACCCAGGCCCCCAGGCCGGCCTTGTGGAACGCCTTGATGAGTGCCTTCTTAGCAGAGTGGTACTCTGCAGCCGCCTGCTTGGCTTCGTGGTACGAGCTCGGCTTCGGCACTTTGATCCGCAGGATGGACGAGAGCTGAGGAGGAAGAGGAGACAGAAACGKACACACATCGTTTCAATGTTCAGGAAACTGTTAGGAAACAACAACAAAAATCTTATGACCTCAAGTATGGGATAAATCTTGTTCCAGCAGGAACTGAATTTGAATTGCTCAGATTGAATCTGTGCATAATTTGAAATTGAATGCATTGGTTTGAAAATGAATTTCACTAAATTGAAACTGATTTTAAAGTTTTGTATCTGAATTAATTTGCTTTGAAACTGTATTTTGTTTTATTAAAAATTCAGTTCGATTACTTTCACTTTCAGTTCCATAATTCAGATTTTTGTGTCACATCCTGGGGTCTCATTTATAAAGGATTGCGTGGAAACCATACTAAAAGTGA